TCTTCCCCTCTTCCTCTCGAGCTCATCACACATTTTGCCCAAAATTTGTCAAGATTTGAAGGCCCCCATCCATTCAAATGATCACAAAGGTTAGCAACTTTGTCCTTTCATCTCTCATTGCTAGATTAGCTCTTGCAATGCTTTATATAGTTATTAATTTGTGAGTTTAGTAATTTAGGAGGAAATATATATATGTGCTAGTATTTGATTTATATGCAATTTGAGGTCAAAAATAACACTTAGTTTGCATATGTAGGTGTGGTTTACTTAGTGCCTTCTAAATCTCCGTCGTAACCACCGTCGATCGCCCGCACCGTCCCGTCGCCGGCACCACCTTGTGATGAGCCTCTTGTTCATGAAATTTTATATAAAAAATTGATGTTTGTGTGATTTGGATATATAGTTACTCGTATAATAATTATCTTACCCGTATGTTGTTTGTTATACATAGTGCCATGGTTTTGATATCCGTCCCCGTCGGCCCTCGTCCTTGTTATGATTCGGATGTGGTATATTCTCTTTTAAAACTATTTATTGCATTTCGTGTTTATGACAAATTATGCCCATCAAGTTGACATAGATATTTTTATCTAGGAGGTATGTGAACCGGAAATTCCAATCGACCCTATTGTCGAGAGGTTAAATTTAGTTGAAAGAGAAAACGAGTACTTGAAAGAAAAATTGAAAAGAATTGAGGGGGAGAAGATGGAATTGGAGTTGCATGTTGCCGATGTCATCGATGATCACAAGATCAAGATGGAGAAAATGCGCTTGAAGATTAGAAAGATTAGAAAATATGCCATCGATAGTGAGGCTTCGTATCATTATGCTGTTGGATCAATTGTTACCTTAGTTGCGATCTTGATCGCATTTGTTGTTGCATTTAAATGCTTTAGCTAGGGAGTTATTTGTTTGTTGCATTTAAGTGTTGTATGAACTTTATGTATGAACTTGTATTAATTTGGTCTATTCGGTGTTGTGTAATGAAGATGAGCCGGCAATGGATGTACGATGACCGATGCTCTCCCCAGTTCGTTGAGGGCGTGCATACTTTTCTGCTTGCGGCTGAGGCAAACAAGCGGGCGGATGGTTTTATGCCTTGTCCATGTGCTGGCTGTAAGAATGGTCGCAGTTACTCTACGTCAAGAACCATTCACGTCCACCTGTTTGAGTCCGGTTTCATGCCCCACTATAATGTTTGGACCAAGCACGGAGAAAAAGGGGTTATGATGGAAGACAATGAAGAAGAAGAGGACGACGACAGCTATCCTGGCCATGGGTTCCCTGAATACGATGATACAACAATGGGGGAAGAAGCTGAGCCGGTAATGCGGGAAGAAGCTGAGCCGGCAATGCGGGAAGAATCTGAAGAAGAGGCATCAGATGAGCCCGTTGATGATCTAGGTCGGGCCATTGCCGATGCAAAGAGAAACTGCGCAAGTGATTTGGAGAAGAAGAAGTTGCAGCGCATGTTAGAGGATCACAAAAAATTGTTGTACCCGAATTGCGTAGGTGACGAGAAAAAGCTGGGCACCACACTGGAATTGCTACAATGGAAGGCAGAGAATGGTGTATCTGACAAGGGATTTGGAAAGTTGCTGGTAATGATAAAGGATATGCTTTCAAAGGACAACGAATTGCCCGAGAGTACGTACGAAGCAAAGAAGGATGTCTGCCCTCTAGGGTTAGAGGTGCAGAAGATACATGCATGCCCTAATGATTGCATCCTCTATCGCGGTGAGTACGAGGATTTGAACGCTTGCCCGGTATGTGGTGCATTGCGCTATAAGATCAGCCGCGATGAGCATGGTGATGTCGAGGGCGAGCGCCCCAGGAAGAAGATTCCTGCCAAGGTGATGTGGTATTCTCCTATAATACCACGGTTGAAACGTTTGTTCCAAAACAAAGAGCATGCCAAGGCGATGCGATGGCACAGAGAAGACCGTAAGAAAGACGGAAAGTTGAGAGTACCCGCTGACGGGTCACAGTGGAGAAAAATCGAAAGAAAGTACGGGAAGGAGTTTGCAGATGACGCAAGGAGCGTATGGTTTGGTCTAAGCGCAGATGGCATTAATCCTTTTGGGGAGCAGAGCAGCAACCATAGCACCTGGCCTGTGACTCTATCTTTGTATAACCTTCCTCCTTGGTTGTGCATGAAGCGGAAGTTCATTATGATGTCAGTGCTCATCCAAGGCCCTAAGCAACCCGGCAACGACATTGATGTGTACCTAAGGCCATTAGTTGAAGAACTCTTACAACTGTAGAATGGAACAGGTGTACGTGAGTGGGATGAGCACATGGGGGAAGAATTTGACCTAAAGGCGTTGCTGTTCGTGACCATCAATGATTGGCCTGCTCTCAGTAACCTTTCAGGACAGACAAACAAGGGATACCGCGGATGCACGCACTGTTTGGATGATACCGACAGTATACAAACAAGGGATTTGCTGTTCATTATTAACTATATATCTCGGCCTATTTAGTTCGTCATTTCATGATATGAACTATTTAATAACCCCTTTATTCATTTTCTTTGTCGGCGGGCAGGGCTTGGGCAAGGTTCATCAGCGTCACGGAAGGCGAATGGAAACAAAAGCTTAAATGGTTTCGACCCAAGGTAAGTAATTAAGTAGTACTAGCTAGCTAGCTAGCTGCCATCTCTTTAATTATCATGCTTGATTAATTATTATCTGATTAAATTCCATTCTCGTAAAGACCCTGAAGCAGGCGCAGGGGACTGATCTGTGTGCATTCTGCGTTTGCGAGATCATTCGCATGATGGCGTCCGAAAGGAGAAGATCTCAAAGATAGGAATGGGTACGCTTGTCAGAACACTATTCACAATTTTTACACCATTATCGATATCTAGTCACACAACTAATACACATGCATATTGATCTCCTTCTTAACAGTTCAAAGAGGTGCAGGAGAAGCTCCTAAAAACGGAGCGCGTAGAAGCACTTCAAGAGGAAATAGCGGGATTTTTGCTTGACCAGGTCATAAATCCGAAGGGAGAATACTATTACCCGCTACCACCCCATAAAAACCACTTCCAATTGTCATCGTGCTCCAAAGGCACCAATTAGCCTAATGCCACTGGCTCCGAAGGCAACATGCATATGTAGGAGAAATTGTATATAGCTATACATGTGTGTATGTATGAATTAATTAATATGGTGGTTTGTGAGACATTGATGATATATATATATATGCATGATTGGTTCTACTAGAAATTCTATATATATATATGCATAACGTGTACAATGTGTAGTATCGTAAAATATCATAAAACTAAAAAAAACCCAAACCTTATAGTACCAGTTGGTCTTACCAACCGGTACTAAAGGGCTCCAGGCCCCCGGAGCTGGCTCGTGCCACGTGGTTGCCCTTTAGCACCGGTTCGTGCTGAACCGGTACTAAAGGGGGGGGGGGCTTTAGTGCCCACACTTTAGTGCCGGTTATGAAACCGGCACTAAAGGGCCTTACGAACCGGTGCTATTGCCTGGTTCTGCACTAGTGCTGATCTCTTGGGCTTCTTTGTAAATGGCTCATCAAAACCATCATCTGCAATCAATTCATATTTTTTTTGGAGATCAGATTTGTAATTGGCACTACTATTATCCATACACATATGTCTGCATCGCAATATTAAACAAATTGGAGTGGAATTTTCAAGGCCCATAATTATATGTAAACTTCTTCATATTATCGTGAACAGCGGCCCAGCGTGGGTTGGGGCAGCGGCCCGGCGTGATAGCAGCTCCGGCCGTGGGCGGCAGCGGCGCAGTGAGTTCCGGGTGTGGTGGCCTCTACATGGTAGTTCGACAGTTTCTGGCTGGGGCAACATCTGGTTTCTTCGGCGCCGGTTCATTGTAGGCGGGCCATGTCGAACTTTGTTTCATCTCCTCATCGTGCGTGTGTTGTGTTCACCTAAGGGCTAGTCCTGTCCCAGTCATCGTCCGTCGTTGAGGGAGGATTCCGCCACCAGAAGGGCCCTAGAGTCATCCTTGCCTCCCATCGGGTCGCGGTGTGCCACCGGGGAGATCGTCCTTCGCACGGGAGGGGCATGGCAGGGTGTTGGGCGATAAATCTGACCGACCCATGTGGGTATCGGCGTTGGGGCCGCCCAGGGGTGGGATAGGAGGGACCTTTCCACTCGTCAATGCTCAGTTGATCATTTCCATGGCAATGGGAAATCCTGGGGAGGGCTGCTATCCCTGGCAGAGACGATATGAAAACATCACTAGAGGTGGGCAGTGGCATCAATGATATGGATTTGAGGGAGGACAAGTACCGCTGGAGCTCGAGCATGTTCTAGATTGCTATCGCCACCGCCCGACTATCCGATAGTTATGACATTTGTGTTGGTTCCTAGTTGATTAGGTGCCACTCTATTAACATATTTACCGCGTTAACATTTTTTTGTTTTTGTTTTACTTATTGAGTATTATATAGAATAATTCTGACATTTGAGATAAATGGTAGTTGGCCCTATGCAAAAAAGAAAGAGTCATTATTCATGACCCCCCGGAAAGAAACAATTTTAGTGAATTGATCTAAATTAATTAAAATTTTCTAAAGCTTACAAGTGTTAAATTTGGGAGTTTGATCAGTTGCTTCACAATAGGTTGTCTTTGAGCATCAACCCCATATTAGTTTGTTTCTTTTATTTGCCATATTTATCTTCTGAAGTAGGAGTATTTCTTAAACAATCTTCAGCCCAAAAACTACATGCGAAATGTCCCAAATAACAGTTTCTTAAATAATCATTTTACCTTTTTTATAGTAAATAATTTTATTTATCTGACGGGTTTTTTTTTCAGAATACGTGGGATAATGGTTGACACGCACACGAACGAACCAGCGAGGACGCCGCCGGAATGGCCTTGGTTTGGAAGTGGTGGTTTGGAGTACGTTATATTTTCGGAACTACCCCCGTGCTCTCTAACTAGATCCCGACGGCGCCTCCGTTCCGTTCCATTCCATTCCAGGGCGTGGAGATGACCCGCCGCCGCAGCCCACGTCTCCATCCCCAGATCCACACCACCACTGAGGAGGCCGCCGGAATGGCCCTCCGCCGCAGCCCGCGGCTCCACCCCCAAATCCCCGTGAGTGGCGAGGGCGCCGCAGTGCCCCGCCGACGCAGCTCGCGCCTCAACCCCCAAATCCGCGTGGGTGAGGACGGAACCGGAGCGACCGGCCGCCGCAGCACGCGGCTCCATCCCCAAGTCCACGCGAGCGAGGTGGGCGCCGGTGTGACCCGCCACAGCCGCCGCCGCCGCCGCCGCGGCAACTCGCCGGGGAAGCTTGCTTCCCTGCCGGACAACGACGATATGCTCCGGGAGATCCTCCTGCGCCTCCCGCCTCAGCCGTCCTCCCTCCCGCGCGCCTCCGCCGTCTGCAAACGCTGGCAACGCGTCACCACCGACCCCCCGTTCCTCCACGGCTTCTCTGCCCACCACCGCAAGCCGCCCATCCTCGGCGTCTTTGAGAGAGATGGCTACGACATTGTGTTCACTCCCGTCCTGGACCCTCCCGACCGCATCCCTCCCGAGCGCTTCGACGTAAGACATCACGTCCGCGGCTTCCGGAAGTTCAACCTGCTCGGGTGCCGCCACGGTCGCGTCCTCCTCAAGTTCAGGACGACGGTCATTGTGTTGGACCCCATCACCAGCGAGCATCGGCGCATCGAAGCTCCACCAGTGTTCACGGGGTTAGACTACCTCTATGGGGCTGTGCTCTGCGCTGCCACCGACCCACGCCACACGCACAGCAGCTGCCACTCGAGCCCCTTTACTTTGGTCTTGATGTCCCCGTGCCAGGGCTACCAAGAAGGTACTCCACCCATCGCTTGTGTATACTCCTCGGCGACTGGCCTATGGGAAAATCACATCTCAACAACAGATCGATGTGCGTTTGTTCATTGTAATCCTGGGATCCTTGTTGGCAATGCCATTTACTGGTCGTCTCAGAGTGTCGATGCTGAATCAAATTTTTTGAATTTGGATGAGCTCGCAGACGACATAATTGAGTTTGATTTGGATAGGCAGAGTCTTGCTGTGATCAAGGGGCCTCCAGATCTTAATCATTCCATCACGCATCAGATAAGCCAAGCAGAGGATGGTGATGTTGGTATTGCCATATTCTCTCATGGTAGATTCGAAATGTGGCAGAGGAAGGTCAGTTGTTTCGGTGGTGCTACATGGTTCCTGCACAAGACCGTTGAAATACATACTGTTCTTGGGATCCCTCCTCAGGTTGAAGGATCGGTGAGAGGGGTCAAAATACTTGGGTATGATGAGGATAATGGTGTAATGTTTTTATTTCTGGACTACAATGTCTACATGGTTCAAGTTATGTCAATGCAATCCATGAAACATTATCAAAGCAATTATGCAAGTTATGCTGATGACATTCATCCTTTCACAAGTTTCTATGCACCAGGTGACTGCTCATCCTTAGCCCTTGTGTTGTGGTAGTACCCAAATCTAATAATGTTCTACTCCCTTTGTTGTGCTTCCCCATTGTCCATTAATTCCTTTACTAGTTAGACAAACTTGTAGCTGTAGTGTGTTTTTATGGCTTTGCTCTTCACAGATACCAAATCAAATGTCAAACGAGTAACTCAGTTGGTGTGTTTGGGTCCTCTAAGCTACTTATACTCTTCTGTCTCAGTACTATCTGTTCTGATCTTGCTATAAATGTTATCTCCATACCAAAAACTTTTCTTGAATCTATACTTCCTGAAATAATTGTTTTTTGGTCACTTGTTGAAGGCCCCTGCTGTAAGTGACAACTACACTTGTACCACACACAAATAAATTGGATCTCTTGTCTCTAGTAGGCTAGATTCATTTACAGCTGAACACCAAAATCACTGTCGTTTCTAGAATTTATTAGTTTTGGCATGTTTTGATTTTCGTATGCTTGATATGTTGGTTAAATTCTAGGCATTTTTTCTTATGAGTTAAAGCTCTCATTATGATGTAACTAAATATTACTGTTTTTAGGAATGGTCTTCACATTTTTAAAAAGATGCGATTTTGTTTATATGTTGTTAGCATCAAATGTGGAATAAAATTTCTATAAAAACTGAGAGCTGAAATGATTTGTTTTTCTGAAGTTATGTTTGTTGGTTTATCTATGTAATTGACTCACTATTGCCTTCTCCTATCTACATGTCTTTTCCTTGTACTCCCTCCGTTCCAAAATAGATGACTCAACTTTGTACTAACTTTAGTACAAAATTGAGTCATCTATTTTGGAACGGAGGGAGTAGCTTTTATTTATTGCCTGACTTGTTATGCATCTGGGTGTAGCCATTCCTAGTGGACGCGATGGAGCTGAAATGCTGCAAGATACGTAGGATGGCTGTCTGGTCTCATGTGGTAATATGCTGGAATGGTATTAAAGGTAACAACATCTTCAGGATATAGTTTGTGAGATCTGGACTGTTTGGTCTTTTTGTATGGAAAATATCTAGCTGCTTATACAGGCAGCCTGCATCCCACAAAGTATTGCCCATTCAGCTATAGGTATTCCTGCATGTCAATAGCACACACACAAATTTTAAAGGATGGTGACGCCAAGGAAAAATGACTATCCCTTTTGGGTCGTAAATGATATCCAGATGTTGCACATAGTGTTGTTGTTGTTAATATTACCTGCTTGTGCATGTGGTCATGCCTAGAGTTCTCCCTTGGTTTTGCTGTTTCAGAGTCAGCTAGCTGAAAGCAAGACAATAGTAGCATTTTGAAAAGAAAAGCTAATATTATGCCCCAAATGCATGCTTTGGGGAAGCTTCTCCATTGTAGAACAATGTAGATAAAAAGAAAAGCATAATACTGATTCCCCACTACTAGTTGGTGAAAACTAATAAGATGTGTTTGATTTTTATCTATGTTTTTAGGCAACACGGTGTATCATGACATCAAGAACATTCTGCTGAAACGAGTGATTTACCCCAGTGATAACATTTCTAGACTTCCGCCCAATCTTTGACCTTAAATCAGAGCCTGGTCCCTTGGGTTTCTTTGTTACTGGTTCATTCCAAACCATCATCTTCATGTCCGTCATCTGCAATCATTTTATATTTTTTATGCAGGTTTGATCTGCAGATGGCACTACTGTGCCGAATAACCATTTTGTCCAAATACATATTTGTGCATCATGAACATATAAAACAAATCAGAATGAGATTTTCAAAGCCTATAATTTAGAAAATGTAAAACTTCTTTACATTATCTAGTGAACACAGATGCCTTCAAAGTATTCCATGTCTTCATTTGACCATTTCGCCCATCTTGATATCAGCACCTTCAGCGCATCTTATCTCACCTTCCTGTATTGGCATGTGAGTCCACAACATATATGGGAAAGCCTGTGAGCAGTGAGAACATAACAAACTTAGCTTGAGTCTCATACTTGGCATTCTGCTTACTTCTTCCTCTTCTATCTCAGGAGCCATTTCCATGTCAAGGATAGTATCAAACTGATTGAGGGGGTAATTATAAATGTCGCCATAGACACCTGTCCTCGGATGTTCCTTTAGTTCACTTTCAGTACCACCAGGAAGATGCTAGAACATAGGAATGTATAATAGACAAGTGATAGAGATTATCAGAAGAAGAAAAATAACCTTCTCTAGCTGAGCAGCCTTTCCAGCTTTCTCCAGAGATCGCGCTGAGTCTTCTTCTTGGGGACTGTCATTATCTTCTCTCTAACAGAGCACAAGAATATCTAGCTGCCAGCGCATGCAGCCTTCATCCCTTGAACTATTTCCTGTTCGGCTATGGGGTTTCAGGCATGTCAATAGCACACAGTCAAATTAAAAACGACGGTGATGCCAAAGGCAAAATGATTGTCCCTTTTTGGGTCGCAAATGATACCAAAAATGTTGCATATAGTGGTGTTGCTGTTACTGCTTGTGCCTGTTTGGTCATGCCTAGAGTTGTCCCTTGGTTTAGTTGTTTCAGAGTCAGCTAGCTGAAACCACGACATTAGCAGCATTCAACTATCCCGCCTCAATAATATACATTGTTAAAAGGCTTCGGTGTACTTCGCTGTCATTTGTAAACCTAGGAGATATTGCGAAGAGTATGATATAAGTTATGTTTTACGAGCTTGCACACACACCTTGCTCATAGCCTTTTTATAACCATGTTTGCTGCATAGGCATATCAGGTTCTGCATATATCTATGTTCACTAACAGATTAGCAATTTTGTTTTCTGCAGGTGAAGTAGTCAAGGGCTGCTGTTGTCCCTAGTCCCTACCGAGTTTGTTGTGTTCCACCAATGTGGTTGCTGAGCATGTGCCTTTGTTAAGTAAGTTTGTAATGTGACAAGATGCGTTTTACTCCCTCCGTTGCAAAGTAGATGACTCAACTTTGTACTAATTTAGTACAAAGTTAGTACAAAGTTGGGTCATCTATTTTGGAACGGAGGGAGTAATACCTAAGGGAGGCAAGTAGTTGAGCTTCCCCAAGACATATCTTCCTTTACATGGCTGTGCTAGGCAGCTCTTTACTTGGAAGCACACACCTACAAGGGGTGTTTGCACTATTAAGAGTGTGTATCGCAGTTTTAAACCGGTCAGCAATCAATGGTTGTACTTCAGAGTGGAAGCTGTTACTTGGAGGCTGCTTCAACATTATGCCCTACCTTCTGCACTTCCTCTAAACTCAAACCATTTAAGTCTATTTGTAGACGATGCAGCCATTTGGAGGATGATGTTCACTTTTTTTTTGCCTGTGACTTCTCTTGTTCAGATTAGTTTGCCTCACCCTTACCGCCTTACGTAGTAGAACTGACTTTCTCCTCAGTCAACTCCAAGCCACCGTTAAAGAGATAACCAATAATTATGATGCCCAGAACTCTTTTCCCCTCGCCTGGCTAATTCTCTTGTAGTATTTGGAAGAATGCAAGAAATGATATAACTTTCAGTTCAAAACATTGTACAACTCTGCAGTTTATGCTATTCTCCGGATGTTATTGGAGGTAGGTTTTTTTATAGGGCAAACATGCAAAGCTTTATTATCACTGCTTCCGGGACGAAGACCAGGTTAAGATGACCTAACCAAACATGGCGGACAACTACTAAAAATATTGGTAGAATGGCTTCGATAAAGTTTCCTGGCCTGTTGCATTGACATAACCAGCCACATATAAAAACATCACACCGTTATCCTCATCACACACCCTAGCTTTATCAAATTTTCATTCCGAGTTATCCCACGAATAGTATGCATTCCAACAGTCTTCTGCAGCAACCATGTGGCACCACCATGACAACTAACCTTCCTCTGCCACATTTCGACTCTACCCTGAGAAAATGTTGCAAGACCGAGAACACCATACTTTGCATGGATGATCTGATGACTGAGGGATTCATTCAAACCAGGAAGCCCCTTGATAACAGCTAGACTATGTCTATCCAAACCAAAATCAATTATGTCGTATGTGACCCCATCCATATTTAAGAAGGGAAAGCTGGAATCTACAAACCTAGGTGACCAGTAAACGACATCATCAACAAGGACCCTGGGATTAGCATAAACAAGCTCACATGGAGCTGTTGTAGAGATATGATTACCCCTTGTGGCAGTCTTCGATGAGTAAACACGGGAGGTTGGATGATTATCCTTTATCGACACCAATACCACTTTGGAAGGGCTTGAGCGGTAGTCATCGTGCACATGGCCAAGGTCGCCTGCAGCGCAGATCACCGTACCGTTGAGGAAGCCCCGCATGAAGTCCGAGAATAGGGATGTGGCACTCCTCGCCAACCATAGGTGAGCATACAACGGGTTTTGTGCGCTCATAGTTCATGAGGAGGATGTGGCCATGGCGACACCCAAGCAGTTGGGAGCAGGTGTAAGTTTTAACACCGTGACGTCGCAAGTCGAAGCACCAAAAGGGGATGCGGTTAAACGACACACGAGTGCCCTGAAAATGACCCTTTGTGGCCGCGGGCATCAAAGAAGTCGATGAGGGGCAACTTTCGGTGGTGGGCACAGAAACGGCTGAGGAAATTGGGGTCGATGACGAGGCCCCGCCAGCTCCTGCAGACGGCAGATGCACGAGGTACGTACACGGTGGGAGGCGGAGGAGGATCTCCCGGAGGAGATTGTTGTCACCGGGCAAGCAGGTCATTGCAGATCCCTCCTCGGTCATGTGGATTTGGGGGCGAAGCATCGTGCGGTGTTGGCTGGTCGGTCCAGCGCCCTGTTGACTAGTGTGGATCTGGGGTTTACAACGTGTTTGATGGGTATTTGGAGACAAGGAATGGGAGTTTAAGGTAAGTGAGACTTTAAATTCTTTGACTGACTCGGGGACATGGGAATTAAGGAGGGGAGAGGAAGGGGAATTAGGAGGCCCAACAATATCCTCCCTAGAGGGCCCTAGTAATTTAACTGGGGATTGAGAATTGACAGGGAAAAACATTTCGTTAGTTGGGTACGTCCAAGAGGGGAGGCGTTTGGCGTTGAAAGCTATTTATTCATCTGCGTAATCCCACCAATCAAATAGGGCCGGTTAATTCTCTCTTAAATTCCCACCTTTAATTGCCTTCACATGCCAAATATAGGAATCGGACTTAAAATCAATTTTCTATATTTAATCTCGTGGAAAACTCCCATTCCACCCATGTCCTTACCAAACACGCTGTTAGGGCAGGTGTGGAGTGTGGCGGCGGGTCATCTCCGGAGACTGTCATAGGGGCGGCGGAAGGGAAGGAGTCACGCCCTTCGTTACGGACAGAGAGGAATGGATACATTCGAAATACTCCACTACAAGTATTTTACTTAGTCAAAACATAGTTTTTTTTTCCTTTGGAGATCATCGAAACAACTAGTGTGGTCTTTTTTTTAGAAGCAAACAACTACTATTATTTTTCCTAAAACCTAAAAAGTGCGTGCGCACGATCCAGAGGAAACGCGCGGCCGTGCTAGCCGATAGAAACAGTCGTCACTGACTCGCTGTCTCTGCCTCTCTTCGAAAAAAACAACTAATCCCCTTGCACGCATCTAGCGAAGCGCCCCGCCTCAGGTTCTCTCTGTGTTCCACACAGGTCGCCACCATGGATGATCCCCGCCTCGGGTCAAGCTCGCCCCGGCCGACCACCGCCACGCTGGGCCTCCTCTCCATCCGAATCGACGCCGGTGCGCCTCCGCTGCCACCCCTCCCTATCTTCCCCATCGCCGCTGGATTTGAGATCCAAACATCCTCCTTCCTCTCGTTCGTCCAAGGAGGTGCGTTTCTGCATTTGGATCGAAAAGAACATCGACTGCTCTCAAATCTTCTCTTAATGGTAGTTATGTGGGCGTAATACTGTACTTAATTAGTAATTACTACTCCCTCCGTCCCAC